CGGCCATAGGTCTGAGATAGGATAAATGTTTTATAACAAGGCATAGGCGCATGTATACTTGCGTGAAAAGTTATTGCTAGCACAAAAGCCGAAATACAAAACAGAGGCTATGAGAATTTTTGCTGATGACAAATTTTGTCCGTGTATAAAACGCTATATGAGAAACGTTAACGTATTTTATTTATGGGCAATTCCCATTCTTAGCTAATTGTAAAAATATTTTGTGTACAACTAGTGATTGAAATGTATTCCTTTCTGACTACAATTTTAGCATAGCCCGAGTATTCGATGGGTGGAATATGCAAAGTTAAGCTGATGATAACATTATAAACCAACAAGAAAATGTAATACCCTTTATTTATGATGCAAAATTATAAAGTTATTTTTTAGATTAAAACAAGATACTACATAACAGTAAAAGTAAACCAACATGATTTAACACGTATTTGATAGTTCAACAAAAAATTTACTTTGAAAATCTGAGCTTAAAACATGAAGTTAGTCACAATAAGTATTTATGAAATATTAATCTAATCTAAAAAAGTATAATCCAGGACTATAACTTAAATATTATTTAGCCATTTATAGCAGATATTCCTTGCTTGTCTTTCAATACTCACTGCAATTAAATGATTCATGCAAGTTATGCAGGAATATTTAGAACCCGGCTCAATGTAGCATCAAAAAGTAAAGTATTTTTAACAAAGTAGATGTTCATCAGTCCTTGAAATACAGCATCTGATAGCAATATATTAGAAATTGTCTCTAATAATCCAAATGTCACTGAACTTTGTGCTCAGCTGAGCGCTTCTGTGTAGAGTATCTCGGCCTTGCGTAGAGAAATAAAAACGAGTCACAGAGTTCCCTGTATGGAGAAAGCAAAGTTGCAAGAGAGGATTTAGAGTGAAAAGGCAAAAATGACGACGGCGTCATATGGCATCGATGTGTCAGGGCGGTGCTCGGGCACACGAGGTCGGAAGGGAAAAAAGAAGTACCGGAAGTAATAGTCGTCAGGCCGGGGTGATTTCGGTTGTCAATACTTAAATGTCGTGTTCCAGTTGGCTTAACCAGGATACTCGATTCGCCAGCTAAGATTGCTTGTTAACCTTACTTCCATTTCGACTGAAAGATTTTGGTGAGAAGATTCGAAGGTCGATCCCATTAGAATTCGACGGCAGATTCATCTTGACCAGCTTTCGATTGGCTTTAGTTGAATATTCTTTTCGATGCTTTTCCGAGGTAATCCCCTTCGATTCCGGCTATAATATGCAAAGCTTTCGCCCGTCGTATGTCGAATATCATCAGAGCAGGGTATCATCCTTACAACCAAATTAAAGCAGAGTCAAGAACACATACAAATACATCCACATATACATACACGGACAAACACATTCATTTGCTTCGAGGTTGACACCTGACTGGAACTAACCAAATCATTTTATACCTCAACAAAGAGCTCAGATATAGAGCAAATATACAGCATTTTAGGGATAAGCCGGCAACCTTTGTTTTATAACTATGTTTGAAGAAGAAAGTAAGAAGTAAAGCCAGCGTGTGTGTATACATCCCTGCTTAACTTCTTACCTATTCTGATTAGTAAAATATCTAAAAAGGTACATTTATGTCCGGTCAGTTTTCTTGACTCGTTAGCTTAAATATGGTTGATAGCCTACTCTGACGATGTACATCATACGACAGGCGAAAGCTTAGCACGTTTTCACCTGAATAAAAAGAGAGTACCTCAAAAACAGTGTTAACAATAATTTTCCAGTAAAGCCAATAGACAGCCGATCAAAATGAATCCGCTGTCATCTTCTGGTGGGATCGAACTTCGAATCTCTTCACCAAACACTCAGTCGAAATGGAAGTAAGCTCAACAATTCTGAAACATGAGAGCCCCCGAAACTCAAATTTTCTTCGCATATATTAAGCTTGCTTGTTACCCATTAGGCTCAGTGGGGATGAATCATGTCCTGAGCTATTCTACATGTTTGTTGAGAGGTTACTGCTTTGGCTGGTTGTGATGATAACTAAAACAAAATATGGCTGTCACTAAAATACTCACCTCCTCTAGGCTACTCGAAAAAAATTCGGAAAAAAATGTGATCTTGACACATGGATCAGGTTCCAGATGCGAAATGAACTTTTCTCAGTTCCAGTGGACTGTTTTGTGTTCTTAATATTGATTTGGTCAGCGTGTTTTCTGTAATAAGGATAAATTATAAGGTATTTCCTGCTGGCGTAAGTAGCTCCGTGTTTACCAACTTACGATGCATTTTTATTAACAGAATGTAGATGTTTCTTAGCTTTGGAAATGACACGAAAAGTACAGTGTACGGTGCTATAAAGGGTGGCAATACGTATTTAATCTCTGACGTAGATTTATTTGAAAGCAATATGACATTATCGATCTGTAGGGAGGTGGTCTAATAGGTATATTGCGTGGTTTATCTATCGTACTAACGTAATCATAAAGTAA